TGCAGTAAATCTGAGTGGTCACTAATTGGATTCAGCCTCTTTGCTGAAGCAAAAATATTGTGTTCTAAAACTTTCCTGTAAGAATGACAATTGGAACAGTTTAGATTTTCATTCCCAGAAGTGTTCCCTTAACTCTGAAGGTGGATAAGGATGTCAGAGTCAGAACTGCTACACTTTGCAGCTGAATGCAGCAAGTACAAAAGCAAAGAAAGGGGCATTCCCACGATCTTTGTCTCCATCAAACAGTGGTCGCTGCCTTTGGAGTCATCAGCTCGGTAGGTCTGGAGTTGTATTTGGGAATTTGGTGTTTGCGATCACATTTATTTAAAAAAAAAAAATTAAAAATCCCAACAATCACCCTTTGTTCTTAGGTGGAAACTGAGCAAATGTTTTCTCCATCAGTGCAAGTCCAAGTATAAAAGCCAGAGCTTCCTAGAACTAAGCTTCTTTCCAACCAGCTCTGTTGGCTCCAGTCGCTCTGCTCCTTCCAGCCAAGGCCATTCACACAGACAGTGGGCCACTGCCCAGGTCTCAGCGGCTGCTCCCGCATGCGATCTTTTGGCCCCAGTGCTCTGGTCCATCCTCAGACAGTTGAGGTGTCCATCCAAGCTGCGTGTCTCAGGCTTTGCTATAAGGGAAAGGAAAACTGAGCTCAGACTGCTGGACTTCTGTGGATAACAAGCTCTGTTTTCACTTTCTCTCTTGTTTTATTTTTTCTTCTTGGACGCTAGAACCGAAAATTGGACCGTTTCAGCAGTCAGTGACTGCAGCCAGGGTTTGGCTTTGAATGAAGCAGTCTCAGTATCCTCTCTTAAATCAGATGGTGGGGTCCTTCTCTGTGTCTCCTGGGTGCAGCCACTTGAATAGCAAGGAGCCCGTCTCCAAGGAGCAGAGTTGTGTTGGCCATTGGTCGCATGTCATGTTGAGTACTATTGAGGAAACAAACAGCAAAGCCCAGAGAAGCTCATTGCTGCAGCCACCTTCAGCCATAGAGACCTAGGCCCTAATTTCTGGCTCTTCCAGAAGCCTGTGCCATGACTTTAAGCAAGTGTTTCTAAGCTGGTCCCTTGAAACTGCAGATCTAAGATGTTGTTTCCCCGTTTTACAAAAAGGACTGCCCATGCCTTTCTCACTCCCCCGTGGGGAGCTGCAGGATGTAATTAACATGCAGACCCATCATTTTGGGTGACCAGGCATCACGATTATTTTTTCTCCTTTTTTAGGTTTTGTGCAGACACAACAGGAAGTGCATCTGCTGCTGTGTGGTAGAGCGAGGCGATAGCAGTGGGGTCAGGAGTAACTCTTCAACTCTTTGGGTGCACATTCACCTGCCAGCAGGTGTGTTTGCTCTTCTGGGCTGGTCACCACCATTTCGGATTGGATATCACAAGTGGACCATTGGACTCTTTGTAGCTCAAGGACCCAGCCTTCCAAATCCCTGAAGACTCACCCCAGAAGGAACTGGGATTCTTTGCAGCTGGAGTCTCACTCATCTGGGGTTTCCAAACCTCCCCTTAATTGTGAAATTTGGCTCTGGAGTGAGTGCCCCATCCCTGAAGCACGTTCCATTCCCCCTGGCTGGAACATCCCATCCCAGCTTGGGGACAGCCCGCTCACCTCACTGCCCTTTTCTGTGCTCAGGAGCTGCCATGGGCCACCAAGGGCAGAGCTGTTGGTGTTCCAAGTGAAGACTGCTATGCTGTGGATAATGACATTCATGCTTTTTTCTATTTTTGCTCCTATGGTAAATACCTCACTTGATGTCTTCCAGGACACCGTTTGCCTTTTCTATCCCTGTTACACTGGCAACTGATAGCTGTGAATTAATGCATCTGGGATCTCCTGCCACTTCCAGCAGCAAAGTAGCAGAAACTGCTAAATTCCAGCACTGCAAAATTAAATTCTGCTTTATTTTTCGCTTCCCTGGTCTAGGACAAAGCTTCCATTTCCCTGCTTGGTGTTTCAGTCTTTCCCTGCCGTGGCAGACTTTCTCAGTGCTTTGTCTGCCATTGGTATCATTCTGGTTTTATGCCAAATCTGTTCCTGGAGTATTGATCCCAGAGGTGATCTAGGAGATGTTATGCTAGAAATCCACCTCCTGCCCAGCATTTCCCCTTCAAGCATTGTTTGCCTTCCAGCTGCTCGTATCCCTTACAGTTCCCCTTTTCAGCTGCTTCTCTGTTTTGAAGTACGCATTTCCTGTGGTGAGCTGTATCTCGTGCTGTACGTGTATCTGGGTGACTGCAGAAACTGCTTACGTTATTGATACTTCAGGTTGCATGGGTATGAGCTGTGCCCAGCGACTGCCAAGCTACATTTTATTCCCCTTTCCAGTTCTGCACTCCCATTTTTAATCATTTTTCTCTTCATCAGACTCTTTCCTTTAGCCTTGGTAATGCTGATGTCAGGCTGACGGGCTTGTCACTGCCTGAATCCTGTCTCCCAGCCACAGTCTTAAATTCAGGCACTGGATTTGCTGCTGTGGACACTGAGAACCTCCCTCTGTAATTAAGAGTCTCTTCAGCCAAGAGAGTGAATTCCTTCCCTAGTGCTTCCAGAAGGCTGGGATGGGCACGATCCAGTGTCTGCTCAGCTCACATATGACTGCCTTCATAATCAGCTAGTGCACCTAAATAGTCACAGCTTTCAAATCCGTTCCTTTTTCCAAAGAAAACTGGCAAGTCATATAAAGCCCAGATCCTGCTGTGTTATTGATGTCACACCACTGCAAGAGAATGGCTTTGGTTTTGATGGGCTAGCACAAAAATCTGGGCTGCAGGGGAGAGAGTGAGGGAGAGTGTTGTCTTTCCAAGCTCTAAAGGAAAGACTAAAAGTGCACGAGGCTCTAAAATGAGCTCCTTTTCAGCCTCTCCTCACTCCATGATTTCTGATCAGTGCTTTAGCATGGGATTTGATGCTCTGTCCCTGCTACCTTCTTGCTTCATACTTTGAAGCTGCAAAGGACAAATGTAATACTCCCTTCTGCCTGTCTCACTGAAAAGCGTTTTGGATTCAGATGAGGGATGTCTGCTGTCTTTGTACACAAATGGTGATCCGGTGGTTGCTGGGGATTGACATTCTGTCCCCTTCAGAAATGGGATATGCTTTGGCTAACTGACATCTCTGCTTACAGATGCAATTACAGCAGTGCTAAATTTCTGTGGATTACCAGTGCCTGTGGTGGAATCCAGGAGCCTCTGTAACAAGCTATGAAGTCAGGAGGACAGGCAGCATGCAGAGATCTTGGCAGTTCCTTTGTGATGGAAGATCCTGCTGTACTCATGGCCCTGGTGCCAAAATGCAGCACAAACCATTAATTTGCTCTGGTGATACTCCCTCCTAGACACTGTCATATATATCAATATTCCTTGGCCTTCCCAAACTGCTTGGAATCCCAGGAGCATCCCACGGATGAGTAACAGATGGTACAGTGGATGAGGAGACTCCATTTCCATGAACTGCCTCTTGCTGTCCGGGCTGCATCTCACACTTAATGGAAGAGACAGGCACAGATGAAGACAAGCCTTTTCCCTGTGTGTTTGGTTTCCTCTCTAGCTGTGCAGTTCAGCCTGCTATAGATCACTGGGGCTTAGTTTTCTTAAGGTGGGCTATTGCATGCTTGGGCTGAGTGGTATAGGGACAGAATGGGGAGAGACCTCAGTGTGGGATTGGATGACAAGGTGGTCGGAATGGGTAAGAGAGGTTTTGTGTTCAAACTAGGATTTTGAGCTGGGTCATGAACACAAGTCCACACTGCTCTGAGCTGTGCTGGTGTGAGTTGTGCTCATTTGTAGCAGCTTCAGGTCACCCCGGGCTTGTTTATGTCCCTTGTCAGAAGAGTTTTGGATGATGCACGAGGTAACCTTGAAAACAAACGCCTCCACATTGCCTTTGCTAAAGGTAGGAGCAGCGCATGCAGTGCCCACACTGTTAACTCTAACCCACTTGAGTTCAGTGCTCTTTGCTCACAGCTGGGCCATGCAGGCAGTGAGTTCAATCCCATTCCTTTCAATTTGCAGAAAGCTGAGCTAGAAAATATGAAATGGGATCTGCTGGGTTCAGTGCCCCCAGCCCAGGCTGTGAATTTTGGGTCCTCCGCTTGTCTCTCGTTAGCACTGAGGCCATTTCCCCCTCCTGTGGGGTAACTGATATGAGGCAGTGAGGAAGGAACAGCTCCTCACTGAGTCATGTTGTGACCCGTGGTGCCACAAGAAGCATTCTTTCCCATGTCAAGTGTGCTGGTGATGAAATCGTGTGAGTTCAGCCGGACATTTCCCCTAATTACAGCCTGAAGGAGTGATGCTGAGCTTATACTGGGTGGCTTTGTGCTTTGGAGCAGTTTTCATGTAGGCAAAATGTAAGCATGTGAAAAACAAGACAGAATTTGGAAGCAAAAAGCCTAGATGTTAGAAACTTTCATGTTAACAGAAGCGGTGTGAGTGATGCCTGGCTCTGCCTGTAGGTTGCTACCTGGATGTGAATCCCTCTGTTTTCAGGTGCTCTTGAAATCAGAACAAGCTGTTCTCTTTCTGTATGGCCTTTCATGTGTTTAAAGGATGTCTGGACCTTTTGCATCCTAACTGTATATTTTATTGAAAAAAATAAGGGGGAGGAACAACAGCTATTTTCATTGAGAAGTCCCACACCACTGAAATTTTGTGCTGGTGGCTGTGTTTTTTAATTACTTCATATAAATCAGTCATTTATTTTGACTAAAAACCAGCCTGTGAAGAGTCTACAATCTACTTAACATGCTGATAGCATTTGAGAACAGGTGAAAGGTAGAAATGACAATGGAGAAACACCGTCTATGGTGGGAGGAAAAAAATAAATCTCCCTGCATAGCTGAGCATCCTTCCTTAGAGCCACTTGGGATCACCTCTTTTTGGGGGACATCACCACATCTCCGTGTGGCCTCTACCACCAGTTTGGACATCACCAGAGAGGGTGAGGGAGGCAGCCCCCAACTCCTCTGATTTTTGTTTTCTCTCCCTTTGCAGCTGCAGAAGACGGGGCTATGAGGACAGCCTGGCAGGGGAAGTCCGGTCGCAGCCCACTCCAGGCCCTGTATGAGAGCGATCAGGTGAGGGGATGGGGTGAGGAAGTTGGAGTGAAGTGGGATGACCCTTTCTTTCACCCCTCCACAATATGCGGCACCAGTCAGCCCAGTGTCCCACACCAAAACCTCTAGCTGTGTCCAGAATAAAAGACCACAGTGTTTTAGGGGGTGATTGTTGATCAAAACTTCTGCTATGGTCTTTGTGGGTTCTTTCCAAGGATCTCTATGCATGCACATATATGTATGTATATAAAGTCGCTGTTGGCCATGAAGCATTTATAATTCTGGGTCGCTTCAGTTCTCTCTATAATCTTGCCTGTACCCACTGAGGTATGGGACCTTGGTAGGTCCCTGCCCACATGGGACTCTGTTGCAACCAGGGCCAGGTCCTTCCCCATGCTTGACACCGCCGTTCCAAACTAGGGTGGTGCTTTCATGTCTGCATGAAGCAGCCGAATTACATTTGCTTTGGGGAAAATGGCTAATGTGGACTTCCTTAGCCATGATGCCTGCATACCCTAATCCTGCTGGAATGTCCTGGTGTTGTTTCCTTAAAAGTGATGCTTAATTTCTCTGGCTTTTAGAAGGGAAGGAAATTAAGGGAGCAATTTTGCTCTGAAATAACTGAAAGACATGCACTTATTCCAGTGGGCAGCTCTTGAAAAGTAGTCACATTTATTTGTTGCCATGCCTGCAGACAGTGTCTGTCTGTCTTTCTGTCTGTCTTTCCATTCCTATAGTCTTGAATTATGTGAGTGCAGGGAAAAACACCTGAAAAAAACCACACTGTTAAAATGCTTGGGTTTTTTTTAGCACTTTCAAAAAGTGTTTCCAATCTAAAAAAAAAATGGAGGGCAGCCTCCAAACAAAACCTAGCAAGAGAAATTTCTACCAGAAAGTTTGGCTCAGTATCATGGTGTACCATGAAAGCATCTCTTCATGTATGATCACCACTTTCTTAGATTCAATGTTCCTCATATCCAGGTTGCCAACAATGTCAACATCATCTCTTGGTGGCATGTAGGATGTGTTGGCTTTGCAGGTGGAGGTTTTTGCCCAGGTGCTAGTCCCACCCCGAAGGCAAGGACTGCTGAATCCTGTGTGGTGTGAGCAGTTTGTTTGAGCATCCAACCTCCCCAGTGCTGCCTCTCTCATGTTCTGGTGGCCACCCAAAACACCCATCCAGGCCTCCAGGGAGAAGAAAGGGTGCGGCTGAAGCTTGGCACAGAGCATCCTTTGGCATGCGTAAGCCATGCCAGCCGCCTGCAGCAAGGATGCAGGAATTGAGGAGGTGGCCTGGTCTTGCCCTTCATCTTGTGTTGGATGCCAGAGGGACCCAGAGGCTGTAGGGACAACTGTGGAACTATGTGTGTCTAGCTAGACTATCTGCGTAGCCTGAAGTGGAAGCCACTGTTGTCTTGCAACACAGGGGTCGTTGCACTGCACTGGAGCAACAGCTCTGTGGGGTCAGAAATGGAGGGTAAAACCGTTAGCATCTGTGGACAAAATGAGGCTTTTGGGAGGTTCCTGACATTGGCCTTGGCGCTGAGTGTGAAATCTGCCATTCTCAGTGAGGAGACGGCAGAGGGAGCAGGCAGCAGGAGGAGGGGACTTTCTTCTTCTGAGTTCCTGGAAATGGTTTCCTTCCCCAGATATGACAGTGTCATTCTGGAGTTTCTGATGAAAAGCAAGACAGGAAAAGTCACATCCCCAGATCAGCTGGGTGATTTCAGCTGGGGTGATTCCAGAGAGGTCACAGCAGCAGCTGCTGGGCCATGGTGCAGGAATCATATGGGAGGAGCGGAGGGGAAGAAGGATGACTTGTGGACATCTCTGAACTGTCTTGCCTTAAGGAAGACCACACCCTGAGCTGAGACATTGGAGTGGCGTCTGTGGAGAAGGAAGTCTTTCAGGCAAAGAGGGTCAGGAAGGGTATTCCCACCACCTCCAGTTCTTTGTCTGCACCACAGGGTCTGTGCTGAAGGCTCTGCCTCCACCTATCCCTCTGTCTTTGCAGCACACCATGGTGGGTTTTTGTGCATGCCCAAACCTATGTGCCATATTTCTGCCTTGAGCTGTGGCTTCCAAATTCACAGCAAGCCCACAGGCACTGATGTCAGATGGCAGTGCCCCTTCTCAGGGAGGTGTGTGGGACCCTGTGCAAGCAAAGGGACTTCATTGTTGTCCCATGGGGTTTAGGCCAGACTGGTACAAGGAAAAGAGCTTCAGCCCAATGCTGAGGTTGGCTGAGGTAACAAATACTTTGTGACCTTTTCTGCACTCCTGCTTTTCCCTCACGCCCTTGGCTTGTTTTCTCATCCTGCTCATCATCAGACTTTTTTTCTTTATTTTGCCCCCAGCAAATACATTAAATACAGTAAAGCAAGTAGAGCTCAGAGTGATTGCTGTCTCCAAAAAGCCCACGAAAAGCCCCCTCCAAAAAAAAAACACCAGGAAAGGGAAAGTGATGGGAACAGTTGTGTGTAGGTCCTCATTGGCATGGGTGAGCCAGTGACCGTCTCTTTCTTTTTCCACAGTTTGAACAGTCATCACTGCAGGCAGTTCACCAGCAGCGACGGGAGCTGTTGAGCAACGTCTGCAACCGTTACACCCGCAAGCGGCGGCTGCTGCGGCCGGATGACTTGCGGCACTTGGTGGTGGATGACACACATGGGCTGCTCTACTGCTACGTGCCCAAAGTGGCTTGCACAAACTGGAAGCGGGTGATGATGGTCCTGACGGGGCAGGGCAAGTACCGGGATCCTCTGGAAATCCCTGCCAACGAGGCCCACGTGTCGTCCAACCTGCACACTCTCTCTGAATACAGCATCCCTGAGATCAACCACCGCCTGCGCAGCTACCTCAAGTTCATCTTTGTGCGGGAGCCATTCGAGCGCCTGGTCTCGGCCTACCGCAACAAGTTCACCCGCAGCTACAACACGGCCTTCCATAAGCGCTACGGGACCAAGATCATCCGGCGGCACCGGCAGGAGCCCAGCGACAAGGCGCTGGAGCGCGGGGATGATGTGCGCTTCGAGGAGTTTGTCTACTACCTGCTGGATCCGCGGACTCAGCGGGAGGAGCCCTTCAATGAGCACTGGGAGCGTGTGCACTCGCTCTGCCACCCCTGCATCGTCCACTACGATGTGGTGGGCAAGTATGAGACCTTGGCCGAAGATGCCAACTACATCCTCCAGCTGGTGGGTGCCGACACAAGTGTCAAGTTCCCGTCCTCGTCCAAGACCACCAGAACCACGGACGACATGACGGCCCAGTTCTTCCAGGACATCAGCCCCTTCTACCAAAGACGACTCTTTAATTTATACAAAATGGACTACTTGCTCTTCAATTACTCCATCCCTTCTTACCTCCGCATCCGATGAGGCAGTTGCTGGGAAGAGAGGTGGGGAGAGCTGGGTACTTCTCATCTTGCCACAACTCCTCTCATCCCACCCATGCTCATCTCTCGGTTCTCCCCATGCCCTCTCCATTACATTCTGTTCTGTGTGCCTCATTCAGGCACGGTCTGGAGGGAGAACACCCCGTAGAACACTGGGGCTGGAGTTTCTCCTTCCCTTTCTCTCCCACCCCTTGACTTTGGCACTTATCAGTGGGTACAGGAAGCTGCTGGCTTTGAAGGTTTGCCTTGGCTGGGGTTTTTCTTATGACTAAGAGATTCCTCTATAGATCCAAGTCTTGGGAAGGGTCCTTTTTCATGCAGGATCCTTTTGGTTGTTTCTCTTCCTCACTGGGCTGTTTGGGGTCAGCATGGGGAGCAGGATGGGGCTTGTCAGAGATTTACATAGGACCAGAAATAAAGCAATAATGTAAGTTTCTCTTGTTCATTTCAAATTGCTCCCACCTTCTTCCTGCTTTCTTGTCCTTCTATCCTGGCTTCCTGAGCCATCTCCATTGCTGTGGAGGGTGGCAATGTAAGCTGCATTTTGCTCTGATAGAGCCTAGAGGGCTTTTTGTTCCTCTTCTTCCATGTGCTCTCAGCTGGGATGCAAAATGCTGTGAATGGGGAGGAAGAAGCAGATGTGCAGCTGGTATGAGTGACAGAGATGGAACGATTTCTCCTGAACGACAGCAGCAGAGCCATCGATCTGTGCGTATGTGCACCTGGATTTCTTGTCAAGTCCAATAAATCCAGGTTCAGTTTTTTGTTTTCTCTTAATTATGTAAAAACAGGTATTGATTGTTTTGCAAAGCCATACATCCAGCACAGGTGCAGGTACACCCACTTGGCACAAAGGGATGGAGGAAGAGCGTCCTGCAGAGAAGGTGATGTTGCATTGGGAAGGTTGGAGGAGTGTGTGTGTATGTGTGTGTGAGAGAGAGAGAGAGAGAGAATTTATGCATGTGCATCAGAAAAAATAGAGAATTAAAAATGGAGACAGAGACACCTAGAGGAAAATTCCCCTTTGCTTGGTTGGCTTCGGACAATTCACTCCTTGAAGAAGAAACAGAAGGGAGTTGAAACACAAAAGAAAATTACAAACCCGGTCCCGGGGTTTTAAGTTCAAGCCAGTCCTAGGAGCTTTGTTTCTTTAAATCCATATTTAAAAAGTCTTTTCTGTTCAGCCCTTGCGAGGTGGCTGCCTTAGTAAATAAACGCAGCGGTAATAGAATTTGCTGTAGTGTGTCTGCTGGCCCAGCTGCGAGCACTTGACTTATTAGTGCAATACAATGGAGGTTTTATGAAACCCCAGTGTGCTCAGACTGTTTTAAGAAATAATGTTTTCATCTAACAACTTTTGGCTGTTACATCTTAACCTTTTTTGCTCTCTTGATTCTGATCTGAACCTTTCTGCTGACATTCCCCCCTTGGTTATGCTGTTTGGACAGTGGGTTTAGCAAGCATTGAATAAGAAAAGGAAATAAGTAGAATTGTTGGTGATGCTGGCAGCCTGAGTGGTTCTCCCAGAGCTGGAGCTCTTGCAGAAATGGTCTTTCTAGAGATGAATCTCAGAGCACAGAAACAGCTGATGTATGCTGCAAATGTCAGCATTTGTGCTCAGTGTTTCCTTCTGTGTTCTTGGGAGTCTTGCAGTCCCTGGATAGTGCTGCTTGGTGTTGGAAAAGAAATCATAGTTCCAATCACCACAAGTTTTTGACATTTGGAGTCGGTCAGCATCACAAAGGAATGGAGTTTCGGATGGATTTGTGTTTTTGAATACCATGTTCTGCAGGTAGCTGGTGGCACATTGAGTGGCAGGTACAAATATATCCTTGCTCCTATGGGTGTGCATGCTGCTGGCTGGGAGAGCTCTGCTGTGACAGCAAGGAGCCAGCAACCAGACTTTGTCCATGATGGTGACTGGTGCTGGCTGGGGTGTTCCTTCCCTCTGCATCGTGTCCCCAGCATCCCCAGCAAGTCCCCGCTTTGCACAGTAGGGCTGCAGCCTACTTGTTGCATTCTGTGACATTCTGTGACATGCTATCTTTGGGCTGATGCGTTTGGATATACCCACTTTGGGGCTTTTTCTACAGTTAAAATCCAGTGCGTTTAGGTCACGTCCTCAGCCTTATGCCTAAACATCACTCCCCAAAGCACAGCGTGACAGTGACAGAAAATGGCAGCATAGAGCCGGTGGTGATGGAGCGAGGAGGACACCGTGTGACAGGAGGGGATAACTGCAGGTGTGACACCTGCGGGACTTCTTGCTGGAATCCAGTTCTCTCAGTGGCTTCTATTTTTAATTATCTTTTCCTGCATCCCTTCTTCTTAACAGATAAGGAATTATCAAAGTGATTGGATGAGAGGTCATGGCCTTACGCTGTCCCAGAGCAGGCTCAGGTTGGGTATTTGGAACATTTTCTTCTCTGAAAGAACGGTGATGCAGTGGCACAGGCTGCGCAGGGAGTGCTGGAGTCACCATCCCTGGAGACGTTACAGAACCACTGAGATGTGGCACTGAGATGTGGTCAGTGGGCAGAGTGGGGGGGGGGGGGGGGGGGGGGGGATTGGGGTTGAACTCGGTGATCCCAGTGGTCTTTTCCAGCCTTAATGATGCTGTGGTTCTCTACCTCTTCTCAACCTAGGGCTGGGAGCGTAATCCTTGGTGCTTCTGCACCAGGGCAGTGATGGGTCAGGGCAGGACAAGCTGTGGGCCAAGCAGCCAAGGTCACCCCAGCAGTGGGAGCCCAAAGACTAACAGAGTAAATCAAGTGAGCTGTGATAATCGCACACGGCTTGGCCTCAGGCAAGTAACAACCTTGCAAACTCTCTTTGATGAACCCTCCCTTCTGCAACTCCCCCATCAAGTGCCTATTAAAAATTAATAGTTAAAAACCGAGAACCATGAAGCAGCATTTAGACCTCTGAGTCACAGCTGAGACAGGGCAGTGTGGTGTGAAGCTTGGGAGCTGCCGTGGAGCTCTCAGAGCCCCAGGGATGCAAAAATAAAGAACAGCATCACCTTTATCTATGTCTGTGTGCATGCACACATATACAGTGTAAATAGCAATTCTTTTATAATGTACAATAGGATTATTTCAAATAATTGTAATATTTATATGTTAATACATGGACTATAATAAGTATGTGTATAAAATTTGTTACCAGAATAATTAAATAGCAAACATGATTGTACTATTCTGTTCATAGTGTGGTTATATTTGTATAGGAGGGTGATGCTTGATTTGTGTGTGCTTATACGTGTGTGTACATGGTACCTATACAAACACATGTACACAAGCACAGAGGAGCCTCCTCCCCTGTTGAGCCTTCCTACAGGCCAACAAACTCAAGTTCTGCCAAGCAGGAGCTTTCTTTCCCAAGCTCGCTGTGCACTGAAGCTTGGGTTGTTTACCAGCTGGAGGATTAAATAGACTTCCATTGAAGGGAAAAAACAAGTGTTTTTAAGTAGGCCCTGGAAGCGGTGTTTTGCTTGAAGAAGGCTTTTCAGACTTGCTTGTGTTTGCTGGCTTGCACTTCACTCATCCCTGGTGAGGATGCTGTGTCCTGAAAAAGCAGTTTTTTTCTGGAAAAATACTGTACAAGGATAGAGGCAGGGAGTTGAAGGTAAATCCTTCTTGCCTTGTTCTCTTAAATGAATTTGCTTATTTGGGAGCCATTGAGGAATAGACAAAGGTCACTGTCAACTCAGTGAGGGTTCTTAGGTGTGATGGGGAGGCACAGCCCAGCCCACCCCTGAGCACATTGATGACACAGACACAACAGCTGAGACTCTCCTGTTGGGTTAGATTAAAAGGCAAAAATCACTCTGCAATGGCCATTTTCTGCCTGAGCTCTATAACCCACATATCTGCTCTGAAGCTGTGTGAATTTCATGGAGGGAAGCATTTCACCCCCCAGTGAAATAACCTGGCAAACAAAGCTAGAGATTCACTAAAGGCTTTAAAAGCAGAGGATCCTGCAGGCATTTAACACCAAACCTCTCCTTTGAATGGGAGGCAAACACTTAACTACCTTTGCAGTCCCAGCAGTGCTGCCCATCACTGCATGCTCAGCCTGGGAAAAACAGGCTCAGGTGCAGTTTCAGGAATGCTGATCCAAGCTCTGCTCCAGGGTACCGTACAGCCTTTGTCAGCAAGTGCCCTTTCTCATTTGCACCAGGAAAAAGAGAAAAGGAGAAAGGATAAAGTGTAAACAGTCTGCATGGCCATATAACTGGCCTTTTGCTGACCCTGAAAAACAAAAAAAAAAAACAAAACCAAACAAACCCTTATATTAAAACCATTTCCTTTGGTTATGTCACTGGTCTTGAAGCTGGAAGCAATTTTAAGTGCGCTCCCCACACTGAGTGCACAGGCACAGGGCTGACAATGGCTGCCCACTGAGTACTGCACAGAGAACAGAGCTCCTGCAATGCACCCCACGCCAGGTTCCAGCACCAGCATCTCTGTCCTGAGCCCAGCATGGTTCCCTCCCAGCCCAGCTGAGTAGCACAAGTAGGGCACAGATGGCCCCCATTACGTGTTCCTGACTGTGCCTTCTGTCAACAATTAAAACCACAACACACTGAGCTCTGCCCAGGAATCACCCAATGAGGGACAACCCAGTGCCAGGGCTTTAGGGCAGCCGTGCATTGGGTAATGGGGACTGATAATGGAGGAGCATGAACAGATCACTGCACAGCTCTGGTTGGGGGCATTTGAAGGACTGGAGGGGGCATGGGCAAAGCTGTGCTGTTAAAGGAGAGTGCCTGAGAGCCTGCAGAGGGCTGGGAGGATCTGCAGCCCAGCCTTGCCCTATTCACGTCCGCTGCAAAAGCATCAAGGCCTGAGGGAACCTCTCAAAGCAGCAGGGACAGGCAGCAGAGTGGGGAAGAGAAAGATGGGGCAGGAGAAGTCATTTGGCAGGACTGCTACAGCCAGCACCAGATTGAAGTTAATCAAGGGTGCACAAAATAAAGTGCTAAGCTCAAGTTATTAAAATACGTATCTCTTAGTGCAGCTCTCTCAGAGTGAGATTGGCAATCAGATGCTTTCTGTGCTACCCCTGTGAGCCCCCCAGCCACTCAGTGCAGCTGTGTGCTTGGGGCTGACAGGTGGTGGGGAGAGAGAAAGGGGGAGAGGATGCCCCAAACTCTGACACTTCCTTGCCACAGAGTTGCTGCAAACACATCCCCCAGCTCAGTTGGTGTAGGGTTATTTACCCTTCAGGAGGCTGGGAAAGGTAACAGCTTATTCTTGCCCAGAGAGTGCTTCTCTCCATGCTGAGTCTCCCAGCATTGAGGTCACCCCTGTGCAAGACCCCAGCCCTGCAGCAAGAGCAAAGGAACACCCACATCCAGAAGTCACCTAGCATAGCAATCCCAAGTACTGAAGAGCTGACAGGGCCTTGAGCAAGACAAGGGGCCTTGACCTCCTCATTTCCTTGCTCCAAAACACACAAATGCAGGCTATTGTTATAGGCAAAGGCCAGCGGAGTTTGATCCACATTGTCAACTCCCAACTCCTAAGCATCTTGGAAGAAGCTATTGCTGCTTCGATTTCAGTGAGAATTGACTGCCCTCAGCCCCATGGGCCATCCCAGAACATTGCTGGGAACACACAATAGACACCCTGCAGTGAGGATGCAGAGTCCTTAGCCAAATTCCCGTCCTTATACACACACGCACTGGTCCCAAATTCATTGCGCAAAGGATGGATGGTGAGGGTGGAGAGAGAATAAGCTTTAATTCTAACCTGAAACATGGGCTGCCAAAGTCCATCATTGGTTAGGAAACACCGATTTTGCTGAAGTCCTATTAGAATTGTGTTGTCCAACACTGACTGGAAGAGATAGCAGCAAACAAGAAATTCATAGAGTCATACAACCATTGGAGTTGGAAGGGACCTTTGAAGACCATCTGGTCAAATCCCTGCAATGCATATGGACACCTACAGCTCTATCAGGTGCTCAGAGCCCCTCCAGTCTGATCTTGAGCATCTCCATGGATGGGACATCCACCACTGTGTCAGTGCCTCGCTGCAAAAGACTTTTTCTTATATCCATCTAAACGTCCCCTCATTTAGTCTGAAACCATTTACCTTGTCCTATCAGACCCTGCTAAAGAGTCTGCCCCCTTTTTTCTTATAGCTCCCTTTTAGATACTGAGAGTTCCACCTGCCAAGTCTGAACTACAAAGAGCCGCAACAAGGTAAAAACAGCCCTAAATCCACTACATGGCATTTTTTAACCACTTTATTTGTGTGTGTGCGCGTTTCTATAAACATTTTAACTAATGGACATTTCATAAACCGTACAAACCCAAAGCTCCTGCTCCCAAAACACAATCAATCCAGCTGGTCAGACAGCAGCAATGGTGCTGCACAGGTAGGTGCTGTCCCTGTATCCTCCCACCAGGAGCCAGCAGGGCTCAAAGCCCATACGTCTGAGTGATGAAGAAGGGAAAAGTTTAAATACCAGGATGCTCTCCTCCTCCAGGGAGAGAAAAAGGGTGAATGAACTATTTGGACTGTGAATGAAATTTGGACGGAGATGTGACATGGACTCACAGGATCAGATGCACCCAATTCAGCAGGCTTTAAAGGGGCCTTGCAGGCTGTTTTGGTGCTGGGGACTAAAGCCAATCAAAATGCTCATCACCATATGGCACCAAATTCTCCTTAATGCTGCACTGGCTGGGTGCTGGTGTGAGCAGTGGGTGCTGCTTAAAACCAGCTTGCTCACGTGCAATGGTACAAAGTCTGGGGGTGCTGACTCCTCTGGACGAGCAAGCCCAGCTTAAGGCACGATGGGGAGGAGAGGCAAGGTGGTGGGGTCCAACCCAGCCTCCAATGTCCCAGAGAAGTGTGCCGTGTCGAATCAGTAACATGGAGCAGCACGCAGTCCTTCAGTTGCCCAGCTTCATGTCTGCACCGTGAATGAGCCAAACCAGATGGAAACAGACAGCAAGGAATCCAGTGCCCAGGAGATCCCCCAGGGCAGTGAGGTAGGGGATGGAGAAATTATCAGGATCCAAAGCCTTCCTCCACATCAAGCGCACAATGAGGTCAGCCACGTAGAGCAGGATTCCCACCTGAAGAGGCAACACAGGCACTACTGTGAGTAACAAGAAAACAACGCACAGCCTCCATCAGCTCACCAGCAAAATGTTGTGGCTATGGTCAAAATGACACGACCACAGCCAATGTGCCAGAGCTAATGAGCATCTCTAAGATGTCTCCACCTCATCAGAAGATCAGTGTTTCTCTGCAGGATGGAGTTGCATCATATGGGTACAGTTGGCTTTTGCATCCCTGCAAACCCTACTGGCCCATGCCCTTGGGCACTGCATGGCCCTTGGGCACCAAGGTCCTTGGTCCTGGTGCAAGGACCAAGTCAACTGTTCATCAGCATGGGCCAAAAACAGAAGTCTGTCAACACCAAAAGCATCTCTCAGCTCCCACTTCCCATACCATTAATGCTCCTATTCAATCCAGCAGGAACAGGACTGCTGCAAATATGCAAGCAAACTCACAGTATAAGTTTGTGGCCAGATTCTTTTCTCCTCATCTTCCTTTTTTTTTTTTCCATTAGAAATTCAGATCTCATCTACTTTGTTTTGCCTAATCTCAGTAGACAACGGGAGTTTGAGGCAGTTTTTACATCAAAGTTATCCCAAGCAGCACTGACACGTTAAAAAGAGAAAAACATTTCTATTTTTCATCTCAACAATTTCAAAATCTTTGCTGTGATTTCTTTTAATTCCTATTTAGCTCCTGATTCTGATAAACAGATGGAGGAAAAAAAATACTTCTCTTAAAGATTAAAGACTGTCTAGTTAATTGAATTAAGACGGGAGAGAGAGAGTTTGCACTCTGCTTCTGTGGTCCCTCCATAGGAGACCACAACCGAATAGGAACCAAAGGCAGAGATGGCAGTTCTAAGGGAAAGGTGGGAGGAGAGACAGAGGGTGCAAATTAAATAAGCAGAATCACAGAAACTAAAGCTGGATAAAAACTAAAGGGTGTTATATAGTCCTCCTTCAATTTGAAACCCACAATGCCATGTTTCGTTCCTAGTGACCATAGAGAAAACATTAATCTGTCTCTTCCTACAGAAACTCAGCAGTTTAAACAAATGCTGTTACCAGGTTTTTCCCAAGCCTCTTCCTTAGACCAGCTAACCCCACTCCATTC